TGGACTGGCTGGTACCGACAGAGGTACCGGCCTGGACTGGCCTACCCCGAATACAACACAGGCCTGTGAGAACAGGCCAAGGGGCTGGTCTCACATGCCAACCCGAGGTCCGCTATACCTAGTCCAGTCCAGCAAGTACCATGAGGGACTGTGTGCACCATGGGCCGACGGAGAGGGGCAGACCAACGAGTTACAGAAGTATAAATCAAGAGACAGCATCGAACCATTCATTCATTCCTGCGTAAGCCATGCGGAAGCGCTGCCATAGCGACTTGTGCGGGGTTGTCTGCAGTGAGCCCGAGGACGAAGTGGGCGAGAAGGAGCTTAGCGATAGCGATACGGATAGCAACGACCATAGCCGCCATAGCTGATAGGAGAGAGAGTAGCGTGTGTGAGTGTGCGTGTGTACAGTGTGTTGCGTGTGGGATATCCAGGGTGGTCCTGTGTGCAAACAGCAGTGTTGAGTAAGTGACGAACAGAGAGTGTACAGGCGATGTGCCGCCATAGCCATTTAAAGCGCACTAGTATCTGAGTTGCGTGTATCTCTGAGTTTTGAGAGGGCGCTTGAGAGCTGCGTGTATCTTTGCACTCACACTCACACTCAGAGGGCGCTTGAGTGTGAGTGTGAGTGTGAGTGTGAGTGAGTGTGAGTGCGTGTATTTTTCTGTATATCTGAGCTACGTGTATCTCTGAGTTTTGAGAGCTGTGTATCTCTGCGTTATACAAAAAAATAAATTGAACAACCTTTGCCTTGGCGTTGCTACTGTTTCCTTCCCAGTGTGAGTGTGAGTGTGAGTGTGAGTGTGTGTGCGAGTAGATAGTGTGTGGGTGTCGGTGTGTGTTCGTGTGTGTAGACAATGCATATGTGTGTGTGTAGTACTGTGTACATAGTGTGTGTGTGTGTGCAGACAGTGTGTGTGTGTGTGCGAGTAGATCGTGTGTGGGTGTCTGTGTGTATGTGTGCTCACGTGCGTGTCACTCGTAGTGTTTGTGTGTGGATAAAATGTGTGTGTGTGTTTTCTCGTCCCTTGCGGGATTGTGATGAGTCCCATGCCCTACACACGAAATACGGCCACGTGCGTCTTTGTACAATAGGTGACCTTTGCCTCAGCCTCTACCTGAGCCACGGGACTGACCACGACCTCCACCGATGCCTACTATTGGACGTGCAGGAGGTGGCTTCCCGCCTACGTTATCCTCCCTTTGTCTCTTCTTCTGCCAGCACGACTCGTCTTGACATTATCGTCGATAGTCGAAGATTATCGTGCCGGAAGAGGGGGCATGCCTAGCGTAATGCGGTCGGGCGTGGTAGTTGTCCTGGATGACGATGGCCATAGCGACATGGGAAGAGTAGGGCCCTGAGTGACCATGGAAGTGTGGGGTGAGTGAATGTCTGTAGTTGCGGGCGATGTTCGTATGCCTACTGAACTGGACAAGGGTGCGTGACTTGTCAATAACAAGTTGTGTCCCCCTTCCTGCATCGCCTTACTGGAGCCGCCGTTGACAACTCCCCTAACTCCTCCAGTTGCTCGCTCCTGAGCTGCCACACGATGTGCTGGCGACATGCAATGTACACCAAAATCCACCCCCAGCGAGGATTATGCGGCATGTGGCGACAATGGCGGAATCCCATAGAATGAACCCCTAGTGAGTGTGATGTCTCAAGCACGGCTCTCCTGCAGGGGATCCCTACCCCTCTCCTCCATCCTGTCCTCCGCCATCATAACGCCCTCATCTCGGACGACACTCTCGTCAATCCTCTCACTTACTCTCTCACGTACAATGTTTGATCGCCCCTGATTCACTTGTTGTTCCGCACTCACATCCACCCTAACTTCCACGTTTTGCTCCACCCTCTGCTCCACCCTCTGCTCCACCCTATGATCTGCAGCAAGGGGAACACATGGATGTACCCTTTGGTTCCCCCTCTGTTCCATTGTCACGGCCAAACCTTCCTTCACCCACTGCTCTGCAGTCTGCACCACCATTGGTCGAACGCCGTCCTTGTCCCTTGGGTGTGCATTCTCGTACAATCTACGGTTTATGTTGTCACCCACCAGCTTCTCAACCTTCTGCCCATCAAGTCCTCTGCAACCACGTCCGCCCTCTGATCCACCATCTACACGGCACTTTGTCTGACCCTGGACACTCTGCGAGTTGCTCTGCCACCTCCTGCACCCCCTCTCTATGTTGTGCCCTGTGCTCCACTGGCTGATCTTCCCTCTCGTCCATGCTATCATTACACCTCTGCTCTGCCCTGTGCACCGCAACACGGTGTACTGTACCATGTGAAGACCCGTCACTGCTACGCACATCGACGGTGCTAGCAGGGGAACCTAACGTGGCAGAAACATGCGCGTCCAAACCTCTGGAGTCGACGGCAGTTGGCCCTGCAAAACGGGAGGATGAGGTATGATTGACGCATTGTAATGTTGTGGCGCATAATGATCCTATCTCCGCCACCCTTGGCTGTGAAGTTGAGGTAAGGATGTCGTCGTGGCGACGCTCGATGTCCTCCTCTGCCCCCTCTACATCGTCTGTCGCTAATAGACCCTCGACATCGATGTGGCCTCCCACCCTCCTCCAGATGGTCTTCACCGCCAGGAAATTGCCATCGACGTACGAGTCGAGGTCCGTGTGAGGGTCCAATGTCGCCCACCCGTCGCAAATATTGTGCTGGTCTTCTGCAACTGCCTTCCCTCTGCCCCGATCCGCCTACGCCTGCTCCATCATCTCGCGGTGCATCCACACCATATCTTGCCATGGGGACATTGCATCCGCCATATGCTCGTCTGCCGATATAGACGTGATCCGGTTACGACCGTCCTTGCGACGGTTAACCTGATCCATGAGCTCCCTGTCATTCTCGCCCACATCTGCGGGGATGACATCTTTGTTATCGATCTCCTCTAGGGGGTCCTCTACCATATTCGCCCACACGTTGATATAACGACTCTCCAACCGCCTTCTGGCACTAAGAAGTTGCATGTTCCAGTGAATGAACACGAGTTTCTCAACACTCTTAGCAGAGAGGTTGTTGCGCCTCTTCGTGTGTATGACGTCGTGAGTCACCCAGTTGCGCTCGCAAGGAGTTGTTGTCGACCACATGCCAAACACCTTCTTCGCGATGGCCTCCAACTTTGGGAAACAGACGCCATGAAGCTCCCACCACAATGTCGGGTGCATGGTCTTCGATGTTGCATCCCAAGTGGCATACAAGTCCCAACAATGAGGTTCACTCTCCAACCAGTACCGCGGATCATCGGAATGGAAAGTCCATAAAGCCTCCCAGATGTTGTGCATCTCCTCCGCCCTCCACCCCCCGCCCAAAATGCAAGCGAAGTGGTCAAGCGCACTCTGCACAACAGGGGCCAACCAATCCCTTAACAATGACACGACGCGCTGACGAGGATCCAACAAATAAGTCGCGACATGTGCCGGCTGACGCATCATCACGCACCTGTCTGCCACAATCTCCATGACAACCGCCCTCCTTTGGGCGTCAAGCTGCAGAGCGCCAATCTTCCTCTGGAGGATTGACTGCCGATCCCACAAACCTGGCGGTGACGACCCATCACGTTCCATGTCCCTAAGGAAATTGTAATTTGTAACACAGCTCATCACACCCATCACTCTCTTCACTTGCTGCCACCATGCATCAGATTTGCACAGCTCGCGGAGCTCCTGCTCATCAGTCCGTGTGTCGTCAGTCCATCGTGCACGTCTCCAGTTATCTGGCGACACCACCTCATCAAGCATGAACCTCTGGTGCCCACAACCTCTCTAGCATCATGAAAGCAGTCCCAAACCGAGTACTTGTTGGTTGCCTGAGGTTCAGTGGATGCTCCGTGCCTCGGTGCAGTGCGAGCGCCTTCTGTTTGTTTCTCATGAACTTGATTATCTTGTACGCCCGTTGCATGATTACTTTTGCCCAAGGATGTGCAGCAATGTCCCTCAACAGCAAGCTCGGGCAATGTGTTGCGAACGAGATCCAAGGAATGTGTGCAATGTCGGGGTTTGGATGGGACTGCAGAACGCTGGCCGCTGCCTTCATCACCTCCGCATTGTCAGTGAAAATCGCATTGACATTCTTGACCCCAATGTCATCTCGTATGAGACTCTCCCATGTCTCCGTCAATCCGATGCCTGCCTTGTCCCAGTTTGACATGTCGATGGTACAAATGAGGACCGTTCCAGACTGCCCTGCTGCTATGAAGTTCGTGATGGGCTTGTTCCTTTGGTCCGTCGCCCCGTTCGTCATCAACGTGCATCCGGTGTCCTTCCATTTTGCCTTCTTAGGGGCAATGGGTGTCGCAACCTCGTGGTAGATAATGTCCAACATCCTCGTCCCGACTCCCTCGTATGTCAGCAGGCGTGGCACCGACACAATGGAGGGACGCATGAGAGTGACAATATAGTCCCAATAATCCTGTGTCTCCTACAACCGCAACCAGTTCAAGGAAACACCGCCTCGATACATGGCGAGTGCCAAGAGACAGTCGAGATCTTTCTGCACCTTGTTCCCCAAGAAAGGTTGCAAGGTCGACTGTCTCACTCTCAACTCTACACTTGTGGATGCAACCTCCGTGCTAGAAGTTGCTTTGGCCCCCCTCCATCACCTGCACCCGTCATACTGACAAGTGATCGCAATCGGTCGTGTCCAGCACACAAGCGGTTATCGGGTAGCTGAAAATTCAGGAATGAAAATTCAGAAGTGAGAGTTTTGGGCAGTCTGAAAATCCTGAATGGTTCTGAAGTGGTGAAAGGTCCGAAGACCCTGAAAACTGCCTGTTTAGGCAGACCGCATCCTGAAGTGGTGAAGGGCGTCCTGAAGTGGTCAAGTGAGAGTTTTGGGCAGTCTGAAAATCCTGAATGGTTCTGAAGTGGTGAAAGGTCCGAAGACCATGAAAACCACCCTTCACCACTTGAGGATGCAGCCTGCCTAAACAGGTGGTTTTCAGGGTCTTCAGAGCTTTCACCACCATTCAAGATTTTCAGACCTGAATGGTCCTGAAGTGGTGAAAGGTCCGAAGACCCTAAAAACCACCTGTTTAGGCAGGCTGCATCCTGAAGTGGTGAAGGGTGTCCTGAAGTGGTGATGAAAAATACGACTGTTGTTAACCTTCTCTCGTCCAACATCTGCATCACGTCTATGTACAGGCAGCTCCTTTGCACGATCCACGTTGTCAGCACCTCTGCCCCGCCTAGTGGCAGGGACTTGTGCTTGTCTCGCGGGTTCATCTGGCTCGACAACACCGGCTCCTCCGTACATGTCATCCATAGCCAATGTCTCCTCCAAGGCAGCAGCATGCTCTGCGGCCAATCTCTGTCAAAGCGGGTCCCTAAGCATTACTCCTGGCTGCAATTGCCACAAGATCTCTCCAGTCTGTCGCGGACAATATGCATTTTGTTTTGTGAAGTGCTCTGTTCCCCTGGATCTGGAACCAGGAAAAACCTCATCGCATAGGCGACAACGCACCAAGAAGTTGTCGCCTCCAACCAGATCATGGTCCTGACCCCTCTCTATCCATTCCCACACCGCATGTGAACGCTACAAGTTCTCTTGTTTTCAATCGGGCAATAACATGAAGGCGGGATAGGTGGTGCCCAAACAACGCCTGCTTGCCGCGTCAATCGAGCACGAAACACTGACGTCACAGAACAATGAGGGATCTGGATGTGGCGTCTTGAA